CCCCAAAACCCCAAAACCCCAAAACCCCAAAACCCCAAAACCCCTATTATTCAATAAATTTTTGAAAAATTTATAATGATTAGCCAAGTTTCTCTGACATTAAGCCAGACAGATAGTGTTCCACTCGAAGAGGGCAGCACACACCAAGAAGGTGCGAAGCACCCTCTAGATCGGTCATATTCCTCTAGGAGTAAAAACTCTAGTCGACAGGAATATCTCAGGATGCTAAAATACCAGAGGAGTTTCGAGCAAAACTCTAAAGGTGAGTTCAACCATTGAACTACAGCCATTGCGGCTAGAGGGTTAATACCCAACCCTGGGTAATAACCAGCCGAAGCCAAAGAAGCAAATCAGAGTAATTGATGAAAATTCTTCCTTCTTGTTAGACAAGGATGATCTCAAGAGAAAGAATTTCGACTATGACAGTGTCGAAAAAGAGGAATATGAGGTGTTCTCAGATGAAGGAAGCGTATTAGTGAAGAAATCAGTCACTCAAGACGGAGATTATGATGAGAGCGAAGTCGAAGAAGGTCCAAGATTTAGTAGATCCAAAGCAAAGGATAGGTCTTTGAGATCATTATCCAAAAAGGCACCCAGAGACTTAAGCAGGTCAAAATTTCGATCAAGCAGGGGTTCAAGTTATAGTGGAATTGATAGTATTCTTAACAAAAGACTTACTGAGACTAATACCTATATTAGACCTCCTTCAACTCAAAAGAGCTATAAATCATTCATCTCAAACTTCAGTGTCCAGAAGTCCAACATGAATCGCACTCGAAATGAAGTTTCTCGCTGAAATATCCCTAAACCTCAGAATTATACCATGAAGGACGATAAATCAAGCAGAAATTTTATAGATTTTTCAGAAAAATCTGAAGACCCCTTGTTCTTCAAATCTGAATGAGAAATGCTCAAGGAACAGCTCGGTCAACGTAATGCTACAATTCTCAAAATGCAAATTGAAATGAAGGAAATGAAGGAAAGCTTTGTGCAAGAAAAAGACGAATTAATTTCAAAAATCGAAAGCTCCAACAGCTCCAATTCCCAAAGCTATGAAGACCTCTATGCAAAGCTCAATGCTGTCATCAAAGAGAATGAATCACTCAGCAAGAAGCTATACTTAAAAGACCTGCAGTACAAGCAAGCTATGATCCAGAAAAATAATGAGATAAAGGTCCTCAATAAGCAAATATTTACCTTACAGGACCAATTTAAATATGAAAGAAGCAGTTTTATTTCAACCAAGGAGAAGTATAAGTCCTCCACTCTTGAGCTTCAGGAGAAACACAAGAGCGTAATTGACATTCTGAATAAGAAAATTAAAAAATTAGAACATGACAAGAGAGACAAGAAAGACCCGCAAAGTCGCCAAATTTTGTGGGAACTTGAATGTAAGTTACTTAGAAATACTCTCGTGCTCATATTTGTATAGCCTTTAACAACACAGAGAATTTGAATTACCGCAACTTTCGTTCCAAGCCGCTTGATTACCCAATGGAAACCAGGAAGTCCCACAAATTGCTGGAGAACCTTGACATTTTCCCAGAAAAACCTTAATTTTTAAATCTTGAACGGGGTTTTGGGGTTTTGGGGTTTTGGGGGTTTGGGGTTTTGGGGTTTTGGGG